CCCCCCCCCGATTTGTACAATAATAACTTTTTCTAGGCGTATTCACGTCGATTTTCCATTCCTTCGTTTCATCTTAGCTTTCTTTAATATCTCAAATTCCTCGGAATACGTGGTTAGCAAGAAATCGAATAGTGTTTCCTCAGAACAGAGACGACCGGTTAGCAAAATCCATATAAACACAGATACACTCGCAAAGGAAGTATCGCAAATCGTATTATTGATCATTAAATATACCAAGGTACAATTCGATCTATATGAAGTAAATCAAGTAATTAAATAATATTTAGATATTGTGACTTAAATCCAATATACTAGGCTATATGTGGCAATAAACTGTTCGAAAATGTCTTACTTCTGTGGCGATATTCCTTAGATACTAGTGCACCCAATTTAGCTCCTGGTTGGCCGTATATTTATACAAAACTATGCATTTATTTTCCTTAAATATCAACCTAGCACGAGTAACCAAACGTGCCTTACACCTGCCTTACACCATGCTTGGTAAATTTTGCTGTATATGTATAAGCGAAATTATTTTGCTTCATACACTTAACCTTACACGCACTGTCTGTAATGCCGTGTTACCCCACAACCGGTGGCCTTCTTATCCGGCGGTTTGAGCACTACCAAAGCTGCGTCAGGATCGCTAAGGCATGCTGGCTTGTGAGAAAACGAGTTAGCCCACAGAAAGCGCATTACGATTTCTCGTATGTAAACAAGTGAGCCCACAGACGGCACTTCATGATTTCGACCATGTAAAACACACGAGTCCCTCGAGAATTTTCCTTTTCCTATTATAGCAAAGGGCGCCTTACGTTTTCTATCATGTTAACACGTGCAATAACATATCTCATCCCGATTTCTCCCCGTAAACACGTGATACGGCCCACGCAGCGCATCACGATTTTGTCTCATGTAAACACGCGAACCCGCGCAAAACATCACGATTTATATATTCAACCAGCCGTGAGCACACACAGTACATCACGGTTTCTATACTCCATAGTCGCGAGTCCACACAGTACATCACGATTTAGATATTCAATATAATAGTCGCCAGCCCACACATGCAGTACATCACGATTTATATAGCTAAATATACTAGGCTAAATATTAACAAAAACCTTTCTTGGTCCAAACATATTAATTGATATGAAATGTAAAAAAAATTCTTCCGCTTTAGATGCTCTTAAACGAATACGACCTGCATGTCATATCAATCCAAACTGCAATCGAGATATATAATGCAACTAGAAATACATGCATGCAGTAACCTCTCGCCAATATTTCCCAAACATTAAATTAACATGAAGTATTCAGAAATGGCCCACTGAACGCAGGCTCGCGCTCAAGTGTTGCCATGACAACACGATAAAAAAAGAAATTTTCATTTAACTATACTCTATAGTTCATTTGCCGATAAACTAATAATAAAACATTATAAGTCAGTTACAAATAAAACAAATTGTTATGTAATTTCAGTTCAGTCTTCAAATCAATTTGTTCTCCTTTACATTTTAAGATTTTTTTTCAAACTAAACGGTGATTTATGAAACTTAGAGCTTCGTTGAAAAGAAAAACAGTTCATGTTTTTAGGCAAAAAGTTTAAAGCAAAAAAAATCGTAAACATGCTAAACATTAAATATTCAAAGCAAACTTGCCGTATATTTCACGATTTCCCATAGTAAATCAATTCTTCTCATTTCTTCAAACAAAATTGCTTCAAGTTTGTTGTATATAAAACGATTTTCCAGATATATATCTTTTCCCCGAGCCTACGGCGCGGAGCGCCGTTCCGGGCGTAAGCCCGCGGCGAGTGTACTAATTCCCCACGGCTATTTACACCCGGGGAAACGAAAGCATTAGCCAAGTCTAAAATTCATCAATGAGCGCGGGCGTCGGTCACCAACGATGTTGAGTGGGTGGTCATCCTCACTGATCTCAAAAATATGGCTGATTGCTTGTAGGAGTGGGATGAGCAAGATTTCAATTTTAACAGATATTTCGGTTTCAGCCCCCCAATCAAAAAGTACTTCCTACGGGACTGCATTTATAGAATGTGTTGAAAATGTTGTATTATTACTAGCTGTAACTGTTTGCTTACAAGGGTTAAGAGTGTACATGAAAGCAACATACTGCATGCGGTTACCAATATTTTTAATATTTATCCAAACATCTGTACTTATCGACTCTTAAACTTTGTTTACAAACTTTCAATAAAGTGAATCGACAACTTTCGTTGTATTTTTAGGTGTTATACATGTAACATCCACATCGCTGGGATCGTCACCTTGTAGTGGTGATGTGGCTTGAATGTTCCAGTGACCCTTAGAGCTAAGTCGGCTGGAGCCTAAAGCTCCTGGTAGGGTCACCCATGCCGAACAGATTGACGGGTAGGAACCAGACGAAGAATGATCCCCTGGTCCCCCAGCTTGGGGGTTGGGCTGAGGGCTGATAACCCGCTCCGATAAAAAAGACTTTATTACGGAAACTGAAAGCAGAGAAAATTCATTTAATCTTGGGTGCGCAGTGGGTACTTTCCTAAACAACGGAGAGCCTATGACGCAAGGGGGTCAATGCCAGCAGCAAGCCCCCGGGCCGATGAAGCACTTCTACACCCAAAGAGCATCACCAACATTGGAAATTGGAATGTAAGGACACTATATGAGAGCGGTAATATTGCCCAGGCAACAAGAGAGATGGGAAAGAGAGAGATTGACATCATGGGCATAAGTGAAACACACTGGATCGGTCATGGTAGGTTGCAACTGCAAGAGGGAGAGACCATAATCTGCTCGGGAAGAGAGGACAACATTCATAGGCAAGGGGTAGGTCTTTGAATTCACTGACATCATCGAAGAGATAGCAACTAATGAACCAACATTGGGAGAAGTAAAATCAGCCATTGGAAGACGGAAGAACGGAAAATCACCAGGGACAGACTCGATTACGGCAGAGTTACTGAGGGCAGGCGGAGAATTTTCTGCAAAGAAAATACATGAATTATTGAAGAACATCTGGAAGTATGAGAAAGTGCCCAGGAAATGGAAGCAAGGATTGATAATAAAATTACCAAAGAAAGAAAACCTAAAGGAATGCAAGAACTCCAGGGGTATAACACTTCTATCTGTTGCAGGGAAAATACATGGTCGGATCATTATCGACAGACTACGTAACGGAGTAGACAAAAGGTTGAGAATGGAACAAGCTGGTTATAGAAGTGGAAGAGGTACAACGGAGCAAGTGTTTGTTCTACGAAACATCTTGGAACAAGTGAATGAATGGCAAGCAACCTTATATCCCGGGTTTGTAAACTTTGAGAATGCCTTTGATTCGGTACATCGAGAGAGTCTGTGGATAATCATGAAGAAATACGGAATACCGGAGAAGTTAGTGAGGATGGTAAGGCTATTCTATGATGGCTTCCGATGTGCGGTTGAAGAAGAGGGTGAACCAGGCGAATGGTTTGAAGTCACCAGCGGAGTAAAGCAAGGTTGTAACATGTCAGGGTTCTTATTTTTTATGGTACTTGACTGGGTAATGAGGAGAACAGTCGGGAATGGTGAGAATGGAATAAGATGGAAATTTACATCAAAGCTGGATGACCTAGACTTTGCGGACGATATTGCGTTGCTCTCTTCCACCAAGCAGCAAATGCAATATAAATTGAACAAGCTTGAGGCAGAAGCTAGGCGTGTGGGATTGAAGATCAATGTGGAGAAGACAAAGATGATGAGAATTAACCCGAGCAGACAAGAACAGTTTACCATCGGAACGCAAGACAGGATTGACGATGTGGAGGAATTTAGTTATTAGGAGCGACAGTATGTAAAGATGGTGGGGGCATGAAAGACCTGAATAACCGTTTGTCAAAAGCGAGAGGGGCATTTATAAGACTGAAGAAGATCTGGAGATCCAGCAATATATCAAGGAAAACTAAACTCAGGCTCTATAAGACAATGGTTGTGCCGGTCCTGGTATATGGCTGTGAAACGTGGAAAATGAATAAAGGAGATAGAAAAATGATAGACGTCTTCAACAACAAATGTCTTCGAAGGATAATGAAAGTGCGGTGGGAAGACCATGTGTCTACAGAGGAACTCTTGAAGCAGGCAAACTGCAGATCGCTAAGCAGCGACGTGAAGCAGAGGAAATGGAAGATGATTGGACACATTTTACGGCAAGACAGATATAATCTCATGAATGTGGTTATGACCTGGGCACCAGAAGGGAAACGCCAAAAACAACATGGCGCAGGACAGTGGAGAAAGAAAGGATCGAGGCTGGATGGAGATCATGAGACGAGGCGAGAGTGACTGCTGTGGACAGGACGAAATGGAGGAAAGCTGCTGAGGCCTTATGTGCCACCTAGGGCGCGAAGGAGACAGGTAACAGGTAACAGGTAACATGTAAATGTGTCAATCATCATCATTAATTATTACAAAATGCAAAGTGGGCGGAAGGCGATTTTGACAACATTTTCATCAGACCTACTTGTCGCCCTTTCCGTCGACCCGCGAATTTTAGGGCGGGCGAAACGTAGATCTGTTTAGAAGCTAAATATAGGCCAAACGTATGGCAATTTCCCTGCACTTTGGCGTTAATGGAACAATTTTTATTCACGAGTCTAATCAGGTTAAAGGCCCTAGATCGTGATTAAATTAGGCCCCAGTTACACGATACCGAATTCGCATCGGAGCGACATCAAATGTTATTGCTTCGAGGTGAATTTGACACTTAAAATTATAATCGATAATATAACATAATTAAACAAAAGGTTCAAATATAAAAAGTTGTAAAAGTAGAGAAGACTGGATGAACAGACTAAATTGATGTCGCTCCGATAGCTACGAATCCGGTATCGTGCAACTGGGGCCTAAATAGCTACGAAATCTTCTTGTTGCTGTGCAAGGAGCGCCTAAACCCTAAGCGTGAACGCGATTCATTGGACTCCTGTGGAGGTCAAAAGAGTCCATTAGACTGTCCGTTACGTACTCGTTCGGTCATTCCTACAACTGATCATACCCAATCACACGATCTATTTCACACAGAATGCGTACGGCAGTTCTTCACTGGCAGCAACCTTGGTGTTTCATAACTCTACGTTCGATCGTGAAGCGATCGAAGTCTTGGAGATCGTGGCTTCAGCACGGCTCTTAGTGTTGGCAGTAGAATCATCTTGCTGGCTGTGAATTTGTCGTTGTTAAATCTTGTTCGGGAGGCTGTACCGCATGGCGAACTTGTGCAGCCATATATGTTGAAAGTATGCGAGGACTCGCTGCATGCGGCGCAGGACCCGCTTTGCATGTGATACCATTTCTCACGTGTAAGCGTCCTGTTGCCAACTGACACTCTTACATAATTAGTTTAGTCTTTTTTAATACTAATGACGTCATCATGAGGGATCATGAATATTCAATGATGTTTGAATACCTACAACTTACAATGTCATTGCATACACATAATTAATTGTTTAAAATCCCAAAATCACAATAACGGTGTACTATTTATATACCTGACGATAATACAATTTGCTTTAAAATATCTGTCAATAGGAGATTTTTGCACTTAATCGACTCTAAAAGGAAACGCATGAGGTTTGCCCGTTTCGGTTATTTTCTGTTTGGTTGCAAATGCACGCGATCTAGGCAAAAACTATACTTTTTCAAGTTATCATATATACTATATACTCCAGCCAGATATACCCGCTTTCATGCATGTACATACCGGTCAGGAAGTGGAATTTGCAAAAGCAAGCAATAATTTGATTTTCATCTATATCATAACAAATGATCTGCATAAGTATAGGTTGCTTTATAGGTCGATTTAGGTCGCATTAGCAAAATGATATTCACTAACATAACCCGAGCAATTAGATCTTGGATTTTGACGAAAGAAGATTTCATTAATGAATATAATGCAGGTCAACTATTAGTTAATTAACATGCACCGAAGGACGTAAACGAACGTATATTCAGTTATGTAAATTTGCAAACCTAAGGAATTGAATTCTGATTGGCTCCACATGTAATATGTGTAAATGAGACCATATATATATATATATATATATATATATATATATATATATATATATATATATATATATATATATATATATATATATATATATATATATATATATTGGCTATAAGATTTCTTCAGACATAAAAATACACAAAGTATATTTTCCAAACGTTTCGCCTTTTACGGCTTCTTCAGTGGAATGTTTTTTACAATAATATTTCCTCCTATTTATATGAAACTAATTAAAATACTAAATTTACAATGAGTATGCTGATGTGTATAAAAAATATGCAAAACATGCAATTGATTTATTGTCCTAATGTTAATAGATTAAAATAATTCAAACATGCAACTGATTTATTGTCCCATAGTTTAAAGTACTGTACAATGTTAATAGATTAAAATAGTTCAAACACTAATTGTTCTACCAGTACAACCGTTCATCAAGTCTCCAGAATGTTTTTGTATTTCAAATGCTTCGACGTATTTCCTCTCCCCGTCGTTCACGATATTAGCATGTAAAATCTTCCACTTTATTGTAGGTAACTTTGATTTCTTGTGCGATTCCAAATGTTTATAAATCGTTTGCTTTTCCATTGTCAAGTGTTCTTTGATCCGTGATCCAATTGTTCGCCCGGTCTCCCCAATGTAAACAATTCCACATATTGAACATTCGATTTTGTAAACTACATTCTTCTTAAGGCAAAGGTTCGGTTTAAAAGACAACTTGCACGTTTCACATTCGCCCTGGCAGTTCTGTTTGGTCTTTGGTGGAGCAAAAACTTTAGAAAGGGGTTGAACGTTGGTAAAATGTAATCTTATATTCGGTATTCGTGATCGCTTTACTACCCTTATAGGCTGTCGTTTAAATTCTTCGTTGATAAATGGTAGCTTTACATAGGTAAATTGCTGTTGTTCTAATTCCTCCGGTTCGTTATCTTGCTTGTTATGCCGTTGTCTGTTTTTATGAATCGTTCTTCTAATTATGGATTTAATGAATGTTTTGGGATATCCATTGGCAGTGAATAACTCCGTAATGAGATTAAGTGACTTCTTTTGTGTTGTGGAATCAGTTGAACAATTAATAGCCCTGTTTACTTCCCCAGTTACTATAACTCGTTTAGAGGATATTGACCCGTGGCTGTCCCATGGTGTAATGCATTGACTGTGAATTGGTTTTATGTAGAAGGTTGTAGTGAATATTCGAGTATCGGGGTTCCAAGTAACGAGGGTATCCAAAAAAGATAATTGGTTGTTATTTGGCATTTCAAGTGTGAATTTGATTGCACTGTTTAGGTTATTGGCTAATGTTAAAAGCTTTTGTCCTGAAAGGTCTATACATGACAGGAAAGCAAAATAATCGTCGATAAATCGCTTGAGAGTGACAAATCCATTAGACTTAAGTAAAATTTGATTGTCGAGTCGTTCATATATATAGTCGCTAAAATGGGGGCCAAGTTGTTCCCAATAGCCAAACGGCTCAATATCCTCTAAACGAGTTATAGTAACTGGGGAAGTAAACAGGGCTATTAATTGTTCAACTGATTCCACAACACAAAAGAAGTCACTTAATCTCATTACGGAGTTATTCACTGCCAATGGATATCCCAAAACATTCATTGAATCCATAATTAGAAGAACGATTCATAAAAACAGACAACGGCATAACAAGCAAGATAACGAACTAGAACGGAGGAATTAGAACGACAGCAATTTACCTATATAAAGCTACCATTTATCAACGAAGAATTTAAACGACAGCCTATAAGGGTAGTAAAGCGATCACGAATACCGAATATAAGATTACATTTTACCAACGGTCAACCCCTTTCTAAAGTTTTTGCTCCACCAAAGACCAAACAGAACTGCCAAGGCGAATGTGAAACGTGCAAGTTGTCTTCTAAACCGAACCTTTGCCTTAAGAAGAATGTAGTTTACAAAATCGAATGTTCAATATGTGGAATTGTTTACATTGGGGAGACCGGGCGAACAATTGGATCACGGATCAAAGAACACTTGACAATGGAAAAGCAAACGGTTTATAAACATTTGGAATCCCACAAGAAATCAAAGTTACCTCAATAAAGTGGAAGATTTTACATGCTAATATCGTGAACGACGGGGAGCGGAAATACGTCGAAGCATTTGAAATACAAAAACATTCTGGAGACATGATGAACGGTTGTACTGGTAGAACAATTAGTGTTTGAACTATTTTAATCTATTAACATTGTACAGTACTTTAAACTATGGGACAATAAATCAGTTGCATGTTTGAATTCTTTTTATCTATTAACATTATATAGTATTTTAAACTACAGGACAATAAATCAATTGCATGTTTTGCATATTTTTTATATACATTAGCATACTCATTGTAAATTTAGTATTTTAATTAGTTTCATATAAATAGGAGGAAATATTATTGTAAAAAACATTCCACTGAAGAAGCCGTAAAAGGCGAAACGTTTGGAAAATATACTTTGTGTATTTTTATGTCTGAAGAAATCTTATAGCCAAGTTCATAGACTATCATAGACTATATATATATATATATATATAAATATATATCTATGAATGGGTGTATATATAATATATATATATATATATATATATATATATATATATATATATATATATATATATATATATATATATATATTCGGATTCGCTGGTCACAACATCTTCTTTTGCCGTTACGGAGCAATGGTTAGTATCAAATGCTTATTAGTTTGACAGAATTAGCATGTTTATTTGGGTCTCTGAGATTAAAAATCTTCACAGCCTTTCGATACCTACAAAATTTGACCCACTCCGATACCAATCCGGTATAGTGTAAACGGGGCAAAAGTTTAAATCGTTAAATGCATGCTAAAGTTACCATCTGCAGTAAACGTAAGAAATTGAAACTGAAAGGTACAAACTTTTATATAATTGAAGATTTAACTAAGTTTAATATGACTCCATTTAAAATCCATCGGATATTTCGAGTTTTAGTTTACTAGGTTAGGGATGGCATATCTTGCGTGCTAGTTTTTCAGGGAATGCATGAGCAACACTCCCGAGTTATAACATCTCATGCTTGCAAATATCGCGTTTACGTTCCGTACGTAAGGAATCGTATGTAAATCACCAACATGCCCACGGCAAACTTTCATGCGAATAAATTATGTCAAACGCTACCAATCGTTTAGCCAATAAATCCCGTTTTCCATTCACGTATTTCGCCGCCACTGGCGAAAAATTTTGACAAAGAAATAATTTTATTACATTCATTCGCCGCTGAAGAAATTTGTTCTTCTGCTACAGTTGCTTAAAATTTTCAACTTCTGTTTGACCTTTCGTTGACGGCGCGAAAGAACAACAAATGAACTTTTTCGGTGGAGAAACTTTCGGCGAAATACGTGAGTGGAAAACGGGCTTAAGAGCTCCCAATTCTACGGTTGAGAACGGATTGAGTGCTGTCAGCCAATAGTGAAATTTAGTTTTGACGATTGTTTCGTTCAGTATAACGAGGCTTTATGTTCGTTTATGTGCTTCAGTGCATGTTAACTATTAGTTATCATGTTATTATCAATCCCGAAATATTTTATACACCCTATACATGTAGGCGAAAGCTAAAAGAAGTACGAAGTAGGAACCAAATTGGCTATCACTTAGTCTTAGATTCTACATTTGGATAAGTAACTGTACAGTTGATTATATACAGAATTTTTTCCATAATTTTGCATATTTCGGAACTGAATCTAGTTCCTTCGATATCAGTGTATTTTATGATATGATTATTTTGTGTGTGTTGGTGTTATGTACTCAGGTGAATATGAGGTTTTTTATGTAACTCTGAGTGCGCATCCACACCGGGAAGCTGAAAAGTTAGCTTAACTACGGTGGGAATCGAACGCGCGACTTTTGGGATACTAGTTGGCAGAGCATAATTGGACTGGTATCCCAAAGGTCGCGGGTTCGATTCCCACCTGGGCCAAGCTAACTTTTCAGCTTGCCTGGTGTGGATGATCACAAACATCATGCTTCATACCGCTATTTCAATTAAGGTTGTCCCCCAAGCAAAGCGGAAAAGTCGAATCATTCGACTGATGATGTTTGTGATCATCCACACCGGGCAAGCTGAAAAGTTAGCATAGCCCAGGTGGGAATCGAACCCGCGACCTTTGGGATACCAGTCCAATTATGCTCTGCCAACTAGTATCCCAAAGGTCGCGTGACGAGCGCAAAAGGATGCTTGGGAATTGCTAGCCTGCGTGGCAGGCCTATATAATATAGGCCTGCAACAATCTCAAGGAAATTTGGTACATCGGGGCCGTGAGCGGACTCAAAAATTATATTGGTTGAAATCATAATGTATGCCAAAATACGCATCAATCACTGTGGCGCAATGTTTATACGCTATCAATAAAAGCGTATATTAGCGTATATTTTTGAAAGAGTGCTGTGAATTTGGGTTTTAAACTTTAAACTGAACAGCTGGAAATCGTTGAGATGTTTTGGTAGGTTTTCTCATTGGATATCTGCCTTGACAAGTCGAAGAGCATATATGGATACAAACCCATGCGCGTGTTGGTATTTCTCTACTAATGATACAGTAGCTATACCCGATCAATTTGAAAATACTGATTTTGACAAATTATGTATCCTATTAAATACATGTCGCCTTATGTATTTATGAAACTTACTACTCGATCTACAAACGTTGCTTTTATCGGTTATTGTAAGTTTTACAGCAGGCGACAAACTACAGTGCAATTTAGCTTGTATTGTGATATATTTTTGTAGTTAAGAGTTTGTTATTGTCAATTTGTAAACGTTTAACTGTTCAGCCGTGAGCTGTTGCAATTTAGAAACATATATTCGCTCATATAGCTGGTCATAATATGTATGATTTTGAAATTTGTTGTAATGTTTGGACCTAAGATGGTATTGTCTTCCATTTAAATTAATATAATATATATTTTTGGACCACAATGTAAAATACTGGTTTACCAGTAATTTGTGTAATCCTGTAAAAAAGTTCATAAAGTTCATAAGTTCATATAAATCATATATTTGAGTTCCGTTCATTATTAATACGGAAAATAGTCTGTTGAGTAACGACATCTAAACTGCAGTATCAAGTCAAAATGTTTTGTTCTAGTGAATTGTATCACATACTAATGTACCAAACGGACATCGCCGGTGTAAATTCTGTTTTATTTATTCCAAAAGTAATTTAAACTGCCAATTTTTTAAAAGTTTGAATTCTCGAGCCACTCTATATGAACTACTAGAAAATACATGCATGCAGAAACCCTCGCCTTGCTGACAAAACCAATATTGTATTTTCCGAACATGAAGTTCTAAAGTAGTTGTCATGGTAACACGATAATTTTTTAAGAGTATTCTTACAAATGAAAAATCGCCTAAAAATATCACATTTAATTACAAAATTATTAATTTCCCAACATAAATATAAGTTAGGTATGTTTTTATACGTAATATAAGCCTCAATTTAAGGTAAAATTCAACCACAAACGCTTCGCAAAACGTTTTAAAGTCACTAGTGTTCTTTATAAAACTAAACTGCCTTTTAAAATGGCTTTATCGATAAACTTTGAGTTAGCAATAAAATGATTTCAAATTCTGGCTTGCAAATAACTTAGTGCTTTCTTTTTTATTTAGAAATTCAATATCATAAAAAAGGGAATCAATATTAAAGATACACTAAAATTATATGCTGTTTGTTTAGTTGTTTCATATACGCAAAGGCCGTCGGGTTTTAAAGCCATTATAAAATCAATATTTAAAACAAACTTACCTTCGTTAACGGCGGCTCCCTTCTTTTAGACGATTCTTTCGCAGTTTCATTTTGAGAGAGCTTTTGAAATTTACAAAATCTTGAAAAAATGCGAGCAAAATGAAATATATTTGCAAGAAATTTATCAATCATCAAATCAAGAAATGTTTGCTATTTCGCTGTCGTGATACATTCGTGCCAGTCGTTATAATGCAAAATTTAAATTGGACCAATCAGTGTCCGCTATTCATGAAATCCGCCATATTTTTGAGATCAGTGAGGATGACCACCCATCGTTGGTCACCCACGCCCGCGATATTTGATGAACTTTAGACTCCCCTAATGTTTTCGTTTCCCCGGGTGTAAATAGCCGGGGGGAATTAGTACCCTCGCAAGGCGCTTCGCGCCGTCGGCTCGGGGACAATAGTAATAAATTAAAGTACATTTATAGTTATTACTCACACTGCATCATGCACACGAATTTCAGAAAATATGATTGGTTGGATTGGAAATAAATTATCACAGTAATTATTGGGCGGTTATCAAATTTCCTTGAGATTGTTGCAGGCTCTCATTTACCCACTGAGCCTATCACGCAGGCTAGCGAATCACTAATAAATGAATGAATTTATTAGCGATTCTCAGCCGCCTTTCGCGCTCGTATTCGACTTTTCCGCTTTGCTCGGGGGACAGCCTTAAATATTAGCCTGGAACAGGCTCTCAAGCTGAATCGAGACCAGGCATCGATGATATACAATTTTGAATATCTGCCCCGTAGCGTTCGTTTTTCCAAATATGGAATTTCTGTCCTTATATGGTGTTGTTTACAGCTTTCGTGCAAACTAAATTTAGACCGTGCAAACTAAATTTAGACCGTACAGTTTACACTGTTTTCGAAATATAAGATATTCAAGCAAAAGTTCAAATGTTTTAAATACTGTTTTCTCAAAACAGAACATTTTGTGCTTTGACAAAAGTGCATATGACATGAAATTTTTTGTTTTCTTAAATGAAGGAACTCTTTAAGCTGTAAGATAACTTATTTTTCAGTTTCTTTGTTTTTATGGTATGTTCCCGAGATATTTCAGCACTGGTCGGTTGAAATGACCTTACACCCCCCCCCCCTGAAGAATTCCCTTGCAATTTAATGAAGAATTCCATTGCAATTTAATACGATACTTGTTATTGTTGAGCAAACTGCCAGGCAAACTGTAAACTTCAAGGATCAATATTTTCGAACAAGCCAGCGCGCTCTTCTTTAGTGATATACTTGTACAACACGGATTTTTTAAAGTTGCATATTTCCATAGTCCTATCGGTTAGTCCACGTTCCGTGGTGCGTCTGGTTATACGGAAATCAAGCGACCTGCCTGAAATTTACATACAAACGTGCTCCTGCTGAAACCACAACTGACTCGCGTGACGTCACAAATAATGCTCGTCCCAGACTTCAAGCAATTAAATATTCCGACGGCCATGTGCCAAGTAAAATCGCAATATAAGCAGGTTCAAGTGGCTCTAAAATTTTTCCTTTTTAACCAAAAACAAATTTTTTTCGCGAAACTACTACACTCATAGCATACTTTTAGTCAGCCGAAAGTCAATTTTGGGGTTACGAGCACTTTAATCGAATGCATTTGTTGTGTTTCTGAGTCTAGTTGATGCGATTGCTTTACGTTTTCGTCGTACTTGAACGGTCGTCAGTACTCGCACTGGATGACATGGCCATATAGGACATAAATAACTACAAGGCTAGCCACTTATATACTCTCCGACATCGAGTTCTATATCTCGCCTCAAAATCGTTGCAGAGCAATAAATTTCACATCGCCTAATAGTATGAACGTTCCTCTTTCGAAAGAACTTTGTTTGTTCACCATTGCTGCAATTCCCGCGACACACGACGAACTTTGTTTGTCTAAAATTCAAAATTAATTAAATTTTCGACAGAACCGTTCACTACATGATCGTTGCCACGAGTGCGGCTCACAACCTGGCCTCATCGTTCGAAAACACTCCGCCAGGGGGGAAGGATCTGCACTGGAATGAGGGAGCTTTCAAAACAACACGATAAAAAACACGATATAAATAGAAATGATTTCTCTATCATCCGTATTCGACAATAAACAAGTTTCGAATCAGTCCTATTTTTAGAAAGCGTGAGAAAATTAGAAATATCTTGTTTAATATGAACTTTTCCTTACATATTTTTTAGAACAAAAACGTTATTTACTTATTATATTTTACATTTAGCTTTTGTCAATCATACCAATCTTTTTAAAGTATTGAACTTCACTTCGTTCAACCGTATGTCTTATTGTTTATATCGTGTTTTTTATCGTGTTGTTTTGAAAGCTGGCCCCCTCATTCCAGTGCAGATCCTTCCCCCCTGGCGGAGTGTGTTCGAACGAGGAGGCCAGGTTGCTGAGCCACTCTCGTGGGCCGTGGCAACGACCATGTACTGAACGGTTCTGTCGAAAATTTAATTTTGAGTTTTAGACAAACAAAGTTCGTCGTGTGTCGCGGGAATTGCCGCAATGGTGAACAAACCAAGTTCTTTCGAAAGAGGAACGTTCATATTATTAGCTAGGCGATGTGAAATTTATTGCTCTGTGACGATTTTGAGGCGAGATATTGGACTCGATGTCGGAGAGTATATCAGATAAGTGGCTAGCCTTGTAGTTATTTATGTCCTATATGGCCATGTCGTCAAGTGCGAGTACTGACGAAAACGTAAAGCAATCGCATTAACTAGACTCAGAAACACAACAAATGCATTCTATTAACAAGTGAAATATATTTTTTACATATATTGTCAATATTTTTTGAATTATTTTGTTATTTTAAAATATTATAACGGCTAAATATTCAAAATATATAGGACGTTCAGAGATTGGGCCGCCAGTGGTAAAAACCCGATATTTTGAAAAATTCGAAATAAATATTTGTACTTGTCGTATTCAAACGAAACTTTCTACATAAAAGCGCTTGAATACAACGAATATTTCACTGCTATTGACTTGGGCGAATGCTGAAGAGTTTAGAAGATATTCAAGTTTTTCTCGATATGAACTACAAAATGTTTGGCCAAACGGTGAGTAAATATACGATGTTTCGGTTTTGTGTGTAATGTTATGACGGCATTTGACCCCCCGTTTGAAAGATTAATTTACGAGGATTTCAACGGTGGTTTTCGTTTTAAATTAAGGGAGGTAAATACTTACCGACATATTTTAAATGTTCTCCTCTCCAAAGTCGAAATATGTAATATGACCGGATGAGAATGAGTTAATTGAAATAGCTGTATACGTTGGCGACAGAGTCAAAGTATTTCTTTGCTTTGTCTGCTAACCTGCAGCTGGTGCTTTTAATTACACGGCTAAAAACGATCAGGTCGTTGCAATATTGATGAAAACACTAGGATTGAACAATGTTGTGCGGCCCACATTGTTTACAGTTGTCAACACTGTTGAACAATATTGTTACACCCGATTCAGGCTCGACAATATTGTTCAATATTCCCAGCGGAATATTGAACAATATTGGATGGACGTTGAAAAAGGGTTGACTATGCAAATTGGATCGATGTTACTGTTTCGACGTTGAAACAACGTTGAAATTAGGTTGCCAATCTCGTCAACCATAAT